GCTGGCCTTCAGGCTGGACCCGTTCACCGACTACGGCTCGTCGCTCACGGTCACGCTGCCGCCGGAGCTGCAGGCGCACCAGCCCTTCCAGGTCGTCCTGCGCTACACTTCCACCGATGCCCCAGCCGTGAGTCTTGCCTGGGTGGGTGGGCGCGAGGGCAGCTGACATGTGCAGAGTGGGCTGTGCCAGGCAGGGGACAGTCACCTATGCTCCGCACCTGGGGCACCTGCGGAGGACGTAGGGGCAGCCTGGTCCTGGACTCCTACCCAGGTCCCCTTGTGCTCTCCAGCTGTCACCTACATGCCCACAGGAACTCTGGATAGAGCCCTGGATACAGGTCCTGTGGGCAGCAGGGCAAGGGACAGCATGCCACGCAGGGAGCCCTGCTGTTCAGACGTTCCGTGCCTGAGGGTGCAAGCGTGCTTTCTGGTGGGCACTTGCCAAGTCATACCTCTGCTGGAGCTGGCTTTTGACAGGTGGGCCCAGGGTGTCAGCTGCATCTGGCCTGCTTGTGCCCTAGGCTGTGAACAGCCAGATTTTTGTTCTCTGGAGGGGACTCAGACAGGGAGTTCCAGTGGAAGGCAAGAGAGGGAGCAGGTAGCCAGGGGCTTGACTTTGGGCTGCTCGAACTGGACCCCGGCAAGGTGTTGAGATCCTGAAACCTGCAGTTCTCACACAGAGACATTAGGCTCTGCAGGGCTTTGGGTACAGTGCCCACCATCTCAGAGGCCCTACCAGAGAGCCCAGAGCAGGGACTGCAGCTGCCCCGCCATGATGCAGCCTGCAAGACAGAGCAGGGCTTTTTTTGGCTCCCTTATGGTGATTCCTGCTGGGTCCTCAGGCGGCATGGGTAACACATGTTATGACATCCAGGATACAGCACACACACTGCTCTGGAATCCCGTGAGGGTCCATCTGTCACTGCCTGGATCATCCAAACTGAAAGGCCAGGAGCCACCAAGGTCCAATGTGACATCTGGACAGAAGGTCCAGGCCACTTTCACACCTGTGGGCTTCCTGTCCTTTTCCCAAGAGCCCTGAGCAAGGGTTGCTGCCTCACTTCTTCCCAGAGTCCCCAAGGGTGTGCCA